TGTTTTGTAATGTCTGTAAAAGTTACCTGGATGTTGTTTCACAATAGTCCTAGGCACTAAAAGTGACTTGCTAATACCAGGTTGGACTCCTTGTTGCCTCCAGAACAGCCTTAACATTTCATGATATTGATGCAACAAGATGTTGGAAACATTCCTCAGAGATTTTTGTCCGTATTGACATGATAGCATTACACAGTTGCTGCACATACACGATGTGAATCTTCCGATACCACGTTAGATAGAAATCTGGGGGTTGTCGAGTTTAATTTGAATACAGCGAACTAAATGTCATGTTCACGAAACCAGTTTGAGATGATTCACGCTTTGTGACATGGCCGAATCCTGTTGAAAGTAGCCATCAGAAGAGGGGATTTCATAGTTAACAGCAATTCCTGGGTAGGATGTGACATTTAAATAATGCTCAGCTGGTACTAAGGGGCCCGAAATGATCCATTAAAATGTCCCCACATTATTTCACCACCAGCAGCCAGTGGCAGAAGATAGGATGGATCCATGCTGTCATGACGTTTTTGCCAAATTCTGGACTTGGTGTCTGAATATTGCAGAAGAAATCAAGACTCCTTAGATCAGGCAGGGTTTTCCAATCTTACACTGATTTTGGTGAGCACTTGTAAATTGTAGCCTCAGTTTCCTGTTCTTAGCGGCCAGCAGCGACACACAGCGAAGCCTGTCTGCTTCAGTGTTCGGCATGCTCTTCTGCTTACTTTCATTGTAACCAGTGGTTATTACAGTTTTTATTGGCTTTCTGTCAACTTGAAGCAGTCTGTCTGTTTTCTCTGGCATTTCCTCTGAGATCTGCCACGCACTGGGGCTTTTCTTTTTTTTTTTTTATAATCATTCTCTGTAGATCCTAGAAATGGATCTACTGAGATCTGCTGGGAAGATCTCAGTGGATGAGCATTTTCTGAATCAACCACACCACATTCAAAGTCACATTAATCACATTAGGTGGCCACTGAGTATATATTTTACCTTATCTTATAAGAACTTAGTTTTTGTTGTTGTTGTTGTTTTTGTGTACAGTTAACAAATGAATCCAACTTCGGATCTTTGAATCCGAAGTCAAGGGTTTGGTGGGATGATGTTGTTGATGTTCCTGACAACTCCTCTAGCCTCATTTAGTCACATGCTAACAAAAACCTTCTCTTTGAGATGTAAAAGCTTCAGCAATCACATGGGAGTTGTTTATGCACATCTGGTATGTCTAAATTTTGTGTTAAATCAAAAAAATCCTTGACTTAAAAACAGGAAAACCCATGCAAAATGTTTTTTGAATTATAGGGTATATTACTCCAGCAGTCAATGATTTTGCACTCAGTTTTTTGGTGAGCAGTTAATTGCATTTTTCTCTTGGTCCACCAGAAAGTAGTCTTTTTCATTTAGTTTTCTTTTCTTTTTTTTGACAGATACATGGTGACGTCTGGCATGGATAAGAAGCTGAAGGTGTATGATGTTAGAACCTTCAAGCCCCTAAAGTCATACTTCCTTCCTGCTGGAGCTGCCTGTTTGTCACTGAGCCAGAAGGGACTGCTATCTGCAGCCACGGGGGATGTTGTTCAGGTTATCAGATCCACACTTTGCACATTTATAATATAAGATAAGATAAGATAACTCTTTATTGTCATTGCACAGTCATACATAGTACA